ATCTGCCCTTGGTGTTTACATCATAACTGCTAACAAATAGCAACCAATATAAAACTGAAACTAGAAATAACAGAACAACAAAATAACCACAGCTGTGACTAGATACATTCTACCCTACGGAYRGAGTGGTACCAYAGCTGTGGGGCCCACATCAATGTTCTCTACACTATTGAATAACATATTTTATGCCCTCTTAGAAGGGATCTTTTTCAAACTTCCAAGTCAAACAAGTTTGGGGAAATATATAAATAAAAACAATTATAGCAAGAGAACATCAAGCAACTCAATGATGCTGTGAATCATTGAGTTGATTAACATGAGTAATAAATAATGTCATTTTTATCGATTATCAGTGATAAGTAACAAAATTTCAATAACTGTTCCCAAAGCTCAAGAACAAACTGTTTAACAGGCATTTTAAATTATCATGAAAATTCTCAAGTTTTTTTAGAAAGAGAAGTTGTAACCTTCAAGACAGCAAGATCCTTAGCTCGGTCTGCTCCAATCAACTTACCCTCAAAATTTTTTTGCACCCTTTCAAAAAGCAAAATCAGTGAGAAAACTGGAAACTACTAGAATCACAAATGAAAATTATATTCTACCTCATGAAATCATCAACTTAAATACAGTTCAGCTTTTTCAGAAAGAAACTCAGGGCACTGTAAGGCTCACCCTTCAGATGCAAGGATATTAACCCGTGCAACAACTTGTCCAGGATTTGGATTCCTTGAGAGAGCATTACCAACCACTACATCATGTGAAGAAAAAGAAGAGTCAATCTATTATCCTAGAGCCACTTAATTTACAAATGGAGTAAGCATAGAAATAGGATGTGGTTGATAACCACCTTAAAAGTCAAACTTACCATTGATTTGTATGCTAAAACAGAGACAACTATATGTACTTAGTTGCAATTTTTGTCTTTTTTTTTTTTTGATCAATCAGTTTTTGCCTAATTTTCAGATAGAACAAAAGAAAATGACAGACTGACAAACCTTACTGCAAGAGAAATTCTCTCCCACTAATAAAGATTGATAATAAATTACAAAATGAACACAGTAACTAGGTGGTAAGTTGGTAAAAGAAGAAAGGGCTTATATGCCATTATTGAAGAACTTAACCAGATACACAGGACTTCACATAAGTTGAAAGGACAAACCAAAGAACCATAGATAGATGCATGCTGATTTAATGGAGCTCATAAATGAGTTTTTATCATACTCGTACATGATAAAGTATTTACTCATTCAGTTAGCTCTTACCATGATAGTTTGTCACAATATGCCCTTGCTTGTCCCAGACTACTCCAGAACCATTTCCTTCAGGAACCTGGCATAATGCATAATGAGATTATGAGAATGATAGATGTTGGTACAAGAAAATAAGTAGGAGAGAATGTCAAGGTTTTAAATCATGAAATCACTCCATGTAGCAGAATAAGGATACACAGCTACAAACCTATACAACCAACTCAAACTAGAATTGGTTACTCAGATCTTTCTTAATACCATTGAAAGGCAATAAAGGGGATTTTAAGTGTAATGAAAGGAAATACCTCAACAACGCCTGTTACATTAAGTTGAGGGCGCAACGTTACATCAAAAATGTTGACAACAGAGAAAGTGTTCTTCTCAAAGAGTTTAACAATTCTTTCCTGTCAAGTAGCTATATATCAGTAACACCTTCCATTGAAATGCAAGCAAGATACCATAGGGTTGTAGTATGATTCCATAAAAATAAGCATTCTAATGATTTACTGATATAGTTCTGAATGAACCTCAGAAGGAAAGAGCATCCCAGATGAGAATATGGGAGGTGTTACTTCTTCAATCGTCATAGATGGATCTCCTAAAGCATGGGCTGTAATCCAAATAGAAAAATTAGAAGTAAAATATGCATATGGCCCTTCATGCACTTATGCGGTTTCCAAGATTAAAATAAGTTCTTAAAAAAACTTGATCATCAAAACAGAACTACCCAAGCTGCTGCGCATTGCAGGTTCTGAACACCAGGTGCAAAGTTTGAAACTCAAATTGTGCAGTACCAAGGTCCCTGGTTATAATACCGCCTTAACCAGGGTTGGGGATTATGGGTTTGAGGGATAGGGTACCCCCTGTTGTGTAGCCCCATGGAGCCCAAGATAAAAGAATTATGCAAAGGCATAAACTGATTTTCAATATTGATTAATTCATCTATACATTCAGTAAAATATGCATGGAGTCCAACTTAGACCAACACATCAAATACAGGCAAAAGAAGTGCTTAATCCATGGAAAACAAGTATGCTGGGATCTCATCCATCCATTGAAGTTAATTAAGAATATTGGAAATAATCTAGAAATGATTATTCCTCCATATATTGTCAAACACTGCTATCTACTCAAAAATGCAAATTCAGCAGCCTATACGAAACATCTTAGAAAAGAAATTGGTCAAGCCCAATGTTATGAAAATTGTAATCATATTGTAAATCGTAGAGAAGGTTGAATTGAATCAAAGAATGAATACTATCGTAAACCATAATATTTTTTCTGTTTTGAAAAAACTGTCAAAAAAATTAAAAAACACTAGAAAAGTAAGATGATATAATTAAATTTAACTTGAAAATAAACTGACCCGGATATAATGGCTCACTAAGCAACATATGATGTAAAATAATTTCAACAAGGTTTCTAAATATGTCTTAAATAACATAAATAATTCTTATTCAAATAAGCATTTTAAAACACAGCATTGAAAAAAGAATAAAAGAAGCAGAGGAATGAGAAAATAGAGGACCGGGTCTCAATTGGATTTATTTGAAATTTTGAATCACATGAACCATACAATCAGTAAGATTCATGAATCATACCAAAAGATTCAAGTAGTACTTGTAAATTTTTTTGAGAAAAGGATTAAGACATGAGATTTGAATTGAAACCCTGAGAATTCATGATTCAAATCATGAATCTTATCATAAATCATAAGGTGTTGACAACTATGGCCCAGTCAGATTGTCTTAATCACCAGACAAATGAACATTCTTCCAGATTTTGCTCTGACTTATTTTTATAGGTCCGAAGAATAAAGTTGGTCAAATTGTCAAACTAGGAAGTTCTTACTTAGTTGTATAAGACATCTTCCAGATGGAGCAAACTGCTCAGAAGGTTTGAACAAAAAATTGTACAATGAGAACCTCTATGTTATAACAGCACTTGCATGTTTTCCTTGCAATTCATTATCTTACAATTGTTACTTATGACCTATAAACGTTTTTGAGCTTTGGAAATCAATTATGTCTTGAGAGGGAACTGATTTTTTATGGGCACAAACCAGGTAGAGAAATCCTACTCAAGGTTGTGGTATATCTGTTTTGGGAAGTATAATTGTAGCCTATTTCCAAATCAAACCTAATGTTGTTGGGATTTGGCGAAAAACAAACTATGAACCTTTGAAAGAAAACTTTAAACTGCTTAATAATGAATTTCACCATTCAACATAATTTATGCTAACCAAGATGCACATAAGATAAAAATAAATGATTGTTTTACATAATGTTTTTCTTTTAATCACAAAGGAAATGCAATGTGAATTAGGTACCGAACAGTGCGAACCTGAGAAATACCTTGAAGGACGAGAAAATAAGCACATAAATGAACTTGCAAACAACATGCGCCGAGTGGTGAAAGGAATGCTGTTGCATATTACTTCACCGAAATCCTTAGTGTGACTTTCATCCAGCCTACATATAAACATATCCGTCATGTTTGTTAGTAGTTAGTACACTCATTTACATACGTAAGTGCATTCATTACTAAAGAGATAGAAGTGAGAACACCTATACAATTGCAGGTACACGTACATAATCTCCCTGCACCAAATGCCCACCCACCTTTTATCTTATAAAAGAAAAGATTATTAAGTCCTTCTGCCTATATACCCATCTATCTACAAGTTCATCATACGCATAGATGTTTGTGCTTTACATACATCAGCGGTCTCTTCATGCACACATCTATGACCAAAATACTAAGCAACACCACTAAAACTCAATGAAGATAAGAATCGATTAAAAAATTGCATATGATAAAAATAAAGCGTTCAAGTAACTCTACTTCAAGTTCAGATTGGGCCATGAATTAGTAGTTAAAAAAAAAAAAAAAAGAGCTATTACCCAGTTTCAGATAGCAAAACAAGGACTATACAATCCAGCAAACCGATAAACTAAAAACGAAAATAGGCAATATCAATTGCTAAGCAATAGCGAATTGGGGCTTTTTCTGAGAACAGAATCGGATAACCTCTGAATATGGACAGGCTTATAAGAGACATTGTCGACAGAATCAGTCTGCGCATCTGTTTGAGAATAAAATGACGAAACTCCATCGAAGCAAATCTCTCTTCGACCAAAACGTCTCGGACTTTCGAAACGCCGATATTGCAGGGGAGAATTGCAAGCTAACACTTGCATCTCGGTAACAATTGTAAGAAATCCAGGTAAATCTTTAGAGTATATGTAATATAACGAGAAAGTGGGAGGGAGGGATTAGGGTTTAAGCAATGTTGAAATCGACGTTATCCATTAGATTAAGCTTCTTATGTTTAAGTGATGTACTGATGTGCAAAACCTGTAATAATTAAGAAATATGGTGGCGGGATGTGGTATTTGCTTGTGCCCTTCTGTCTGAGTCTGAGACCGCCAAGGCGCCAACATAGAAGAAAGCTTATCTTATCCCGGTCTCCGGATGTATTCTTTTCACTACACGCTGACCGTTGTAAATTGAAACTGCCACGAGTACTTGCTGGACGGTCCTTTTTTTAAGCTGAACGGTAGTACTGTCAGCGGGTCGGATCTGGATAGAATTATACAAGTTTTGTAAAGGTTTCCCTTCCTTTCCCTACTTTTTCCTTCAAACCAAACACAGCCTTATTGATCAAGCTGGTTGGACTAATCAACCCATCACTAAGATAAGGATGCAGGTCCATTTACCCTCTAGCATGCAAGTGAAGAACTTTTGCCAACAAAATATGGAAAAGTACGGACAGGGCCAATGTAGATTTTTGAATTCCACTGATGTTCAAAATGCCAAAACCCCCACTCCATACACTAATGCCCGCCCATGAATTGACATCAATTCCATGCTGGCACCTACTCCCAACGATACTTTGGGCCTAAAAATTTTGACCTTGAGCTGAACCATCAATCTCCCCAACAAAATACGTTCCAACCCTCTGTTAACTTGATTTAATACGGCACATTTCACCATAAGATAGGACCTGCTATATATGAGATGTGTCGTGTGAGATCATGCTGATAGAGGGTTGGAATCTGTTATGTTGGCAGGTGATCCTGAGTGTTAACATGCTTTGCAAAAAGGGGTAATAGCATATAAGGGCAACTTTTGGAGTTTAATATCAATTAAAGTAATATATTTAAAAAAAATAAAAAATAGATTAACTTTTTAAAAATAATATCAATAAAAGGCAAAAACACTGTTCATCTTCTTCTTCTTGCCATTTGTTCATCTGAGCCGCCGCCCGCCACCACCTGCCACCGCCTCCGCCTCCGGCAACGTTGCTGGAGGTGGTCGAAGGCAAAGGTGGCGGCGACGGCACTAGTGGTCATTCCTCTACCATCCACCGCTGCCACCTCTGACTCCACCCATCTCTGGCAACGTTGTTGGAGGCAGAGGCGGAGGTAGACGGAGGTGGCGGCGTTGGACAGAGAAACCATCAGTGCCACCGCCGCCACCTCTACCTCCGGCCACCTCTGGCAACGTTGCTGGAGGTGGCGGCGGACGACTAATTGTGGCATCATTGGGTTGGGTCGGTTTGGCTAATTAAACAACCTCCATGCCACAATCCCAGTGAAGAATCCAATGATGCCTCCTATCAAATATGGCCTAATTGTTGATGTGGATGGCTCTGCAACAAATTTCTCAGAGGAATATGTTGTATCCAACTATACTTCACAATACTTATAGTATACATCTTCAACTTCTTCTCAATTGTTATATGAACAATAAGAATTCCCTTTGAACCCAACAACTTATTTTTGACACTCGGGCCATGAGTCATACACACCTGGCTTTCTCCCCTTGAACACAACATAGGATTTTTTCATCCTATACACTTCATCATTTTGACAAACTTATGTGAGTAACATTGCAAAGCAACAGACAGATTATAACATACTACAAACAAAGAGATATAATAAGAAATTTTCATTATATCAATAAGTCAAAAGTATCAGTGTATAAGTAAGTATTAAAATGAGTGTTAAAAGCTACTATAGTTGCCACCAACTAGTTAATATGTTTTATCAGCAAGTGCATCGACCTAAGTTATAACAAAAAGGGTAGAAGTGTTAAAGTTTCATTGTCTAAACTTCATAATAAGAGAAGATGTACTACTACATTCCACCAAAACCAGTCATCTTAGATATGATGGATGGGACCATTTGAGCCCTAAATGGCTTGTCCCTCGCAAGGAAAATCTTTGCTTCATTTTCATATTCACCTAGGTACTCAAAGACAGTGTTCTGGACTTGGATGTCATATCCTTCCAAGTCCATAACTTCCTTCGATAAACGGTTTAAGAAATCTATCTCAGTCTCCACCGTAAGTACAGATGCAATTTTTTACATTGTAATATTCATTCTGTCAATTGCATCAATAAAGTCTTGGTTGGGCTTCGATTTTGATCCATGCACTCATTTTTTTGAGCTTGAGGAACCTGCCCTCCAGTTGTTGTTGGAGACTGATTGAGTGCCATCTTCACAGATGAATTCATCAACAGTTAGTGGGGTTGTTGCATCATCATTGAACTCAGGGACATCCTCTTCAGCACCATCAACATCAGCATTACACTCAATCATGGACTCAAACCCTGCCATAGCCTTATCACCCGTAGGCTGATCATTTCCCAAAACTGTTTGCATTTCCTCAAACATCTCCATCACCCTGCCTTTAACACACAGTGCAAGTGGATTGGCATGCATTGTAGATGGCATCATTACCAGTTGCTAATTTTTAAACATTAATTAGAAAAAACAAATATGCCACATTTACCTTGATGTAATCTTCCCAAACAACTGGGTCAGCTATGATTTGATTCTTGGATTCATTCCAGCCGAAACTACTAGTCTCAAGCAGCTTCTTGGCTTCCATGTATATGGGTTTTAATGTTCTCATTCTACTCTTAATATGGGGTGTTCTCATATCAATATTGAAGTGGACAGTCATCCCCCTGCATATTGATGTGTTTGCAGATGTCCAAAACCCCTTATCAATCTTATTGCCCAATGTTACTTGTTCAGCAAGTAGCTCAATCAATGCCTTGTCCATGGCATCATTCCATCTTACTTGTTGACTTCGATCACCCTTGCTAGACATAGTTTGAGAGACAGACAACACATCATTCCCTTATTGCCATCTTTCCTATTACTGATAGATGTTCCTATTGTATCTTTACTAGAGACCATCCTTAGTCAAAAGTATTCAATTTCATGCAGTAAATAAATAACACATAGACATGTACATACATCATCATAAAGAAATACTGAAAATACCTCTAGTAATCAACAACATAAAAGTAAGCATGTGCAATACAGAAATATGGTGTTTAAACAATATTGTTGATATATTAAACCGTCTAACAAGTAAGTCATGGATATCTAATAAAACAAATAAATTGGATGTTTTAAACATTATAAGAACTGCAATTGACACAAATTGGTTCTAACAATGATGATGTGCAATTAATCCAAATACTACAACTCCTAATCATCTTCGCAATCTCCTCCAGTCCCGAAACATGTCTCACTCAATCTGGTCCCTAAATGTGGACCACCTTGCTAGTTCATTTCTTTGTAGCCTTAGTGCAAGAGAATCTACATTGGCACTTTCTTCCACAAATTCATCCCCATCGGATGTATTTTGCCTGTCTGCCTCACAGATCCCTTCTCGAGTGTACCGGTCATGTGGATCAACTTCCATGATATGGTTGTGAAGCACATAACAAACTATCACTATCTTGACCTGTGTGTCGAAGTCAAAATGTTGTGTTGCATTAAGAATTTCCCAACGCTTATTCAGAACACCGAAAGCACATTCCACTACATTTGTCAACGATGAATGTCTATGGTTGAAAACCCCCGAAGGGACTCCGGCAATCACCCTCATATCTCATTGAGGTGGTATCTGATGCCTCGATAAGGAGCTAAGAAGCCTGGCATGTTTCTGTATCCGGCATCTACTAAGTAGTATTTTTTTATATTCCGTTGAGTGATCATTGGCAATAAGCAATTAGTTAAGACAATGGAGTCCACTATTTGAGTATTAGAAAGGATGAAGTATCAATTTAAGTTAGCTTTTGGGATGTTGAATTTGCATTCCCTTCGCAAGGAATCATATAGGACTGTGGCATCAATGGGTGAACCCTCCCATCCAACCAATACATAAGTGAATTTTAAATCGAATGTCACTGCAGCCATTACATTTTGTGTTGTTTTCCCCTTCCTACCACGAAACTTGCTTTGCTCCTCAACAGGCACTTTGCATGGGATATGGCTCCCATCAATTGCACTTATACAGTCCCACATTTAACTAAATTATGTTAATTTCATGATCTAGGGAGGTGTTAAGGTAAAAAATGTAGTAATCTATTACATACCTTAAAATATGGCATAAACTGGGAGTCATTCCTAATCTCTAGTGGTACTTGTTCTCCAGTAGGTTGTATAACCAACAAAATGTACAATCTAAGTACAACATGCAGGACTTTGTGGAAATATTGACTTACAGTCTCTTGTGAATGCCCGAAGGTAACATGTATGACACTATTCCTTTCATTATGCCCTATAGTGTGCAAAAACATTGCAACTTGCTCTTCGACAGATGTGTTAATGGTTGGCCGAAGTTCACAATGGGTAACAAGTAAATGACAGAGGGAATCAAAACATGGCTTTCTCATCCTAATATGAGATAAAAAAGATGACTCACTACTAAATACAATGTTAAGAAACACTCCCTTCCCTAGGCTTCTGACCTCCCACACCCTTCAACTCGCTGATTCAGTATATTGTTTGACGATGACAACCACTGCAAGATATGTCATAATGGAATTAATGGCCGCACTGATCCGCCTATGCTTGGCCATAGTGTCATGTGTTACCTCCATGCTTGACTGACAAGTCAAAAGAGCCCATGAGAATTATCCAATATATTTATGAAAGGAACCGGTCATTATAAAAGGAAAAAGCAATGTTTAGAGTACTATTACAATGAAAGCACTGTTTAGAGCTGTAAACTTTGCACATTCAAGCTGTAAATGTTGCATCATGAGGTATCCCCCTTGCTGAATTCATGAGACCCTACCAAATTTGTGATCTATATTAAGAATTGTCAGATAAAGTTCAAAACAATTATGAACTGCAATTTCAGGTTGAAGCTTATTAGCCACTCCAAGGGTAGCCAACTAAGTTGGCTAAAGCCGATCAAATATAAACCTTAAAATTGGTGTGGGCCTATGCAGATTGGCTTTATATAGGTTAGGGTTGGTTTCACCCCTAGTTCTATCTAATCTTTACTGTGAGGGAAAAATTGAATCATGCAACACTTATCCACTATATCTGATAAGCCAATGCTTATGTAGAAGTCTAACCGTATATGATCAACCTCTATCCTTTAGAAGTAGAGTTATTTTTCATTTTGTTGTTGATTCTTCACTTGTAAATTGTATGATGTATGTAATATGGATAGACCCATATCAATAAGATCTCAGCCTGTACCCTAAGAATAACCCTATTAAAAAATTGGATCTACCACAACTAACTTCAATAGTAAGGAATTTTTACAAAGATAAAACCAGAGGCAAATGGGGAGTTCAGTTTAATCTTTGTCTTGCTTCCAGCTTGGCCTGAGAAGCAGGACAACTGCAGATTGTGTCTTGGGCCTAGTTTGGTTCATTACCAAGCTATCAAATTCAAGTATCATAGAATTTGAGTATTTCAGTTATTGCTATCATGGCTACTATTATATTTTCAATATTCAAGTGAAGGTACCAACAGTTACCTGGGTACCAGTGGACCCTTACTTTAGGTCCTTTAATCCTAAAATCTTCAAGATATAAATATCTTGGGACATATCTATGTTGGGACCTTAATTTGTTGGGACATATCTGTGTAATGTTCCAACAAACAACAAGAATTGGCTCTATCCATGCCTCCCCCCTAGCCAAATTGGCAGCAAGTGGAACAAGATGTTTACATCAGCAGCCAACCCACTCTAAACCACCCCCTCCTTAATATTTCACCTTCATACACTAGATCCAAACATCAAAATCATATGAAGATAGAAAGGGACTTTTCTGATGCAATGGACTGGTATTAAAAAATGCATCTTATTTGGTAGGGGCTAGACTATCTATCTTTATAAAAATGCATCAGTTTCTATGTCAATGAGGTAAAGGAAGAAGAAAAGAGTAAATTGGTTGGTAATATTTTCAGTAGTGTTGCTCCAAACTATGATCTGATGAATGATTTAATTAGTGTTGGATTACATAGATTGTGGAAAGATAGGTTAGATCATTTATGAAGACCTAGATATGCATCATAAGTCCTTAATTTATAGTGGTGTATCCATTAGTTTGTTTGCATACTTTTATATTTATTTCTTAATTTTTTCCAGGTTGGTTTCCAAACTCAGTCCATTTCCTGGAATGGAATGGACTAGATGTTGCTAGTGGGACAGCTTAGCTTTGTGCAGCCGTTTTGGTAGACAAATTAAAAGATTTATACAAAGGCTACAAAGAATATGCCGAGGAAAAAAAAAACTATTCTTTGGATTGTAGTGAAACAAAACATGGAACAAATTCTCAATTACCTTCCTAAAGTAATTCATGGGTTGTAGTGCTGTCAATGTGCTTAGATAAAACTTGAACAAATTCTCAATAATCCAGTGTTGCTAATGTGCTTAGATAAAACTTGATGCATTGTCATCCCAAATATCTAATTTATCATTGGCCCAAACTTTTTAATTTAATTTGGAAATAATTGGGTACAGTGAACCATGAGTAAAGTTTCATGAACTAATTAAATATTGCATTATTTTCAGTACAAATCAATTTAATATTGCATTATTTTGAACATTCAATCTCTCCCTTCAATCCCTTAAAGAATGCATGGCATTAGAGTCCAATACCCTGGCTTGTCCACCAAATGAAGCCATTGGTTTGGAGATGTAGATCCTAATTGCCAGGTCCATGGTTAGTACTTAGTTTCGTAATCTTTTGTGTCACAAAAATTAGAACAAGGAAAAAGAAAGGCCCCATAGGGGTCTTTGACTAGTTGTAGCAAAGACTGGATCACATATTCAAAAGGCAAATATCATACATATACCTTCAAATGAAAATAACACATATTTAAGAAGATATCTTCATCAAACAAGATTGATAACATAAAAAATGATTAATTAGGAAGTAGAGTAACAAAGAAGAAGAATTTCACCGTGCACGTACTTGAGTGTTGAAGACAAAGTGGAAGATGTGTAAACTTGGCTAGGTCTGAGAAAGAATCAACAAAAAATGATGAAAACCTTTATTAGTCGAAGCAAAATACCGGATCTGTGAAGCTCAAGACAGATGTAACATTACCTTGTGTAGATCGAAGTGAAGATCTTCAACCTCCTATCAGATCGGCAAGAACCCCGCAACCAGACGACATGAAAACATGAAAATAGCAAAACACAAGTCAGAAAAAAATACAAGATACTGATTGCCGACCGAGATGGAGGTGAGAAAGTACCATTAGAAGGCAGTGGGGGGGGGGGAGGCGGTGGCACAGTAGATCTCCTCTCACCCGAAACGGCTATTTTTCTTACACAGTCGAAAGAAAATGCATACCCTAATTACATCGTCGAGCGAAGAGAGCAAGATTGCATCGAAAAAATCGATGCAATAATGCACTCTTCGATCGATACATTCATGTCATAAAATACAACTTTGCACTCATTTTAGATACATATATGCATCACAAACAAACGCTTACAAACGCGAACCAGAGTACATAAATACCCCGGTTCGATGTTTGTATCACAAACAAACGCAACCTTAATGTTTGTAATATCTCCCCTCTCCCATTAAATTCATCTTTCCCTCTTAAATATCTTTGAACCTCTTATAATTCTTTCCAATAAAACGTGGGTATAATTTTATAGGGATAAACATGACTCTCATAGCACCACTTCTCAACTGGCTAGGGTTAAGGTTCAACCCAAGAGGCCAAGACCAATTCTAAACACGAACCTTAGCCTAACCAAATTAATGTCAAAACTCAAATTTATCAACCCAAGCCTACCTTTACCATACAGTATTTGTTTTTTCTTTTCAAATGAAG